GACTTTAATTGTTTTTAAGTCAGTTATTTTGAATTAGTTTCGAGAGCAAATTCATTCGTTTTTTTTTAAAATTTTTTTTTTTATTAGTTTGTATTGTTTTGTCTTGTGTGTGTGTGTGGAGGGGTGGCGGGGGGTTGCTTCATTTTAGTTTAGTTTTATCTGAGCTGCTTATCCTCAAGAGGGTCGCAGCGTGCTGAAGCCTATCCCAGCTGTCTTCAGGCAGTGGGCGGGGTACACCGTGAACTGATTTGTCAGCCAATCGCAGGACACACATAGAAACAACCATTCATGGTCACAATCACACCTAAGGACAATTTCGAGTATTCGTTTAGCCTGCCATGCATGTTTTTGGAATGTGGGAGGAAACCGGAGAACCTGGAGAAAACACACGCAAGAACATGCAAACTCCACACAGGAAGACCGGAGCTGGAATCAAACCCTGCACCTCTGCAATGTGAGGCCGCTAACCAGTTGCCAACCATGCCGCCCCGAGTTTTTATTATTTTTAGTATTAGTTTTTTTTGTTGTTTTTGTTTTGTTTTTGCCAACCATGCCGCCCCCTCATTTTTATTATTTTTAGTATTACCGGTAGGTTTTTTTTTTTTTTTTTTTTTTTTTTTTACAAAAGAAGTTTTTTTGCGTGCTAAATGAATTAAAAAAGGTCACTAAATACTGTGTAATGAAGTCAACTACCATTCTCAAATGACCATTTGACCCTCGTTTTTCTGTACAAATGTACAGAAATACCGAAATAAATACCGTATTTTCCGCACTAAAAGGCGCACTGGATTATGAGGCGCACCTTCAATGACTGACCTATACGTCATTTTTTTTCATATATTGCACACACTGGACTATAAGGCGCAATCTACAATGCATCCACTAGATAGAGCTACAGGTACGTCTTTGTCGGGCTCCGTGCCTTCTCTCCTTCCGTTAGACTCGAGAGGCGTTCATGACCGCCTCCAAAAAACGTAAATTAACGATTACTTCAATAAGACTACAAAAATTGAAAATACAGTAATGCACCAAAACAGAAAATCACAAAATAAATTCTATAACCCCCCCGACAGAATTTATTTTGGCATTTCCTTGAGCGTAGCTACAACAGAACGATCAGATGTCAGTAAATTGGAGGAGACTCGACTGTCTCAGAAGTGTTTGTTATTTATTCCTTTGTTGTGTACTGTACTCAGGAAATCACAAAATAAATTCTGTAGTGGGGCTATAGAATTTATTTTGTGATTTCCTCGCTTGATTTTCTGTTTTGATGCATTATTTTCCACTTTTGCAGTTTCATTGAAGGAATCGGTAATTTACGTTTTTTTCCGAGGCTGTCATGAATGCCTCTCGAGTTGAAGGAAGAAGAGAAGGCACGGAGACGGACGGACATAACTGTATTTGTTGAGACTGTGAAAACCATTAACAAAGTGTGCGTTTAAAAAAAACACCACCACAGCTCTCCTTTTTTCGGAGCTGCAACAAAAACTTATTTAATAAAGCAGCGACACAGTTCACTGAACCAAAAGCAAGTTATAACATTGTAAGCATGTCTCCAGCAAAGAGCCATCTTGGGGTCGACATATTACCGTTAATGACCATACACCGGATTTTAAGGCGCGCAGTGAGCTTTTAAGAAAATGGAAGACTTTTTGGTGCGCTTTATAGTGCGGAAAATATGGTACATTTAAAAAGAACCACGAAAGCTCTCTTTGAAAAAACTGACAAAGATAATTTTTTTTACGGTTATGATTTGCTTCATAAAAGGTAAGAAATAGTTGTAATTAATACCCTATCCAATTGAGCGGCGAACATTTGCGACTACTGGTTAGTAAAATGGCGTTCACGTCAGAGTTTGTCAGAGTTTCTTCAAGCTCACAAATGTTCGCAAAACATTCGCCCGAAATGCAGTTTTTGTTTTGTTTTATTTCTTCTTGTCGCAAGAAAATTTAGAATGTTTTCAACGTTCAAACTTCCTTTGCAACAAGAAAAGTACAGACAAACGTCTGGTGACATTTGGAACCTTGAAGAAATCCTGACAAGAATGCTACATTCACTGCGTTCACAAACCCTTGCAATTGTGGGCTATGTGCTTTAGTTTTAGTTTTTAATGTTTCTTTTTTGTTAACAAAATTGTTTTTTCGATTTCAGTTATTTTGTTACACTAATAAATTATAAGTAATGACCCTGGTCTTATCTCATGAACTATCATCTATGTCTACCAGTAATCAACATGAGTAATATATTTACCAATACTGTCATATGGGATTTGGATGGTTTCTGAAGAAGTCCAGGTGGAGGTGTAGATAAGCAGACAGAGTGGCATCATTCCCAGGGCCAGGATGGAGGAACATGCTGTCATACTGATACTTAAGAGAAGGAAATTGACAGCTATAAGCTTCTCTAATGACATTTTATTGTTGAAGCACAAAAGAGTGATTTGATTACGTTTTGGCCCAATAATCAATGCAATGGTGTCGCATATTTGCATGTTAACATGAAGTAAAGTACTTCAAGGTGATATGATCAACTACAGTCATTCAGCCAACCTACTGTACCATGAACTCATTTTGAACGCGGCAGCTTCTTACCTTAGGTCCATATCGCCATCCAGCCAGTAGCAGATAATATTGGAACCGGACCCTCCAGGACAGCAACCCATGATAATGATGACAATGGCCTGAACAGGCAACACATTGAAGGCGATTGACAAAGCAAAGGCGGTAAAAGGCATAATGCCAAATTGGCAGAGGAACCCAATAACGATGCCCCAGGGTCTCTTCAGGTGCCCCCAAAGTTTTTGGGCATCCACAGTGCAGCCCATGGAAAACATGACCATCGCCAGCATGATGGTGAGCACGGTGCTCAACACGAGACTAAGTGTTGCATTAAAGTCAGTGGTCGGGACAAGGCAGTTAGTGCCGGAGCAGATCGTGGCCTCAGACGGGCAGGCAGAAAGTTCTGCAGTTGTTTCCTTGAATATCGACATATTGGAAATGTGATGTCAGTGGAGAGTCATCCGTGTCCAGCCGACCTCGAAAGACAACTGGATGCGTTTCCTCAACAGACTATCATCCGTGGATTTTACTGGACTGAATCCTCTCCTGTTCTGTTGGTTATCCAATAAGACGATGGCGACCAAACTGTCCAGCCCACTGCTCTTAATGCCCTGCTGGCAACTGCCGAATCGTAGTAGGAAGGAAAATCGTGTGGAAAAAATTAACCATTGTTACGTTTTATGGGGTCAGTGTTCAAAGCCCGTGCATATAAAAGAATCATTTTTGAAATGTGATTGCACCATCATTCTTTTAAATGCTCTTTGGCCTCTTAAAACTTTATAGACAGTTAAACTATGAATGACGGTGTCTTCCGAATTCAAACAAGATGATTCTGTGCTTATCCTCAATAGACTACACCTTATATGCACATAGAAGGACCACACATAAATTGTTTTATGGCATTGTTAAATGATGTAAATTTCAAGTAAAATGCAAAGTAGTCTGAGACACAGTGTTCATATTACCAAGTGACAACCATAGGTCTAAGTATAGGGTATATGCCTTTTGGTAAAGAGGGTTCACAAAGTGCATGGCTATAAAATTGAAAACATGCCTGTCAGGCATGTTGTTGACTCCTGAGGTCTCACAGCTGAATATGAATTTATTGTACTGTAAATCACTTCCAATTGTATTTGGAATTTTGTTTGTAACACAGAATGAAAAAGTAAATGCATATATAGCACATCAGAAAAATTATAACAACTGGGGGATCCCAGGAGTAATAAAAGCCAGCACCATACATAAAAAGAGTCTGGCCAGCTTTTGATCTCTCCATTTCTTGCCGCTATGGACATTGATTGCCGGTCACATGATTTTTTTTCCAGACGCCATCTTGCAACTCATCACTCGCTGTCGCCAGCGCATAAATCAATTTCTTATCGTGAATCTTTCACAATTAAAAAAAATATATATCCTGTAATATAGTGTGTGGCTGTCGGGTGTCATCACCCGGAGAGACAAAGCTGTGAAGCTCCACAGATTTCCCTGGACACCAAGAGACAGATGGTATGGACAGAGAAAGGGCGTTGCCAGGATGGGTGGAAACCGAATAACAAATCCTGTCTTTGTGATGTAAGTTTATTCTCCCTTATTTTCTCATATTTAAGAAACATACAATGAATAAAAATCAAAAGACAAGGCGCAGGAGTTAATGTAACGATGACATATTTTGTTCGATTGTCCCTCGGGCACCACATAACTCCCCACTGTGATGCGTTCTAAGGAGTCCTTTTTATATTCATCCACCTATCAAGGAAGAGACTATTATTTCAGCCATTTCAATAAGGTTGTGTTTGCTATTATTATAGGCTCAATGTTCGGTTTGAGTAGACAAAGCTGCTGCAAGGACTGGAGTCTCCAGTTCTTCGAACAGATTTCTTATTTTGAGAAAGATTGAAAACAATGGTCTGAGTAAATAAGGTATTTTTGAAATTCATGGTCAGCACACCCAACGGTGTCGATCCGTTCCACACAGCAGCTCATTTGTCGCATCAGCACTAGGAAAGCGCAGTTCAATTTGCAAAGATGGGCATGCCGCCCCTGGGACGGAACGGTTCGTCCGTCCGTTTCGGAGGGACGCATCATTTTGGTACGGTGGACGAAGGATGAGAAGGTTTTTTTATCTTATTTTTTTAAAGGACGGATTAAGTATTTCTTAACAGGTTATTTCATCTCAACAGTATTTTCATAGCAACACTGTCACCTAGTGTACAATCAGAGAACATAAGTGCCTATGGACATCCATTTCTACAATGATCAATCCAGCCAATGAAGACAGCTGGCTGTGTTGTATGTCTCTTGGTACCTGCCCACCATGCTGATGGCTTGGACTTATTAAAATAACATTTTTATTATGATTGTTTTTATTGTATTTATTTTCTTTTTTGTGTTGTGAAATACTAATGTTGAGTTGTAACAGACAATCATGGTGTTATTGAGGGGGCAAATGGCAGCTTCAAAAGGAGGAGGACGGACGTGAACACAAGACGATTATTTTAGGAATAAGGACGGAGGGTCGATGACGAAGGGGACCCAGGTTGCAGACGGAGGACGGACCGGCAAAATAGGGTGAAGTGCCTAAATGCCATGACGTGCATGTATTCTGTAAATTCAACGGACTCACTTTCTCTTTCTTTTTTTTTTAAAGTTAATAATTCCTTGAGAATATGATCAATATCATGATCATGTTAAAGCATTTGTTTATTAAAACTTGCATAATAAAGGCCTCTTCTCAGAGTCCACAAACTCTTGGTTCAGGACTCAAACTGTACTCCCAAGTACTGCAAGGTGAAAAAGTGCAGTGTTAAAAAAAAAAAAAAAATTAAAAAGTAAATACAGTGAACGCACAAGTGAGAACTGCAGTGTATGACTTGAAGCGAGCTAGCAAAGCTAATGGGGCTAACATCACCCGGGCATAAATCAGAAGTGAGGCTCGTGTCCTTATTTTCCTTCTGTGAGGGTTTGCAGAAGCATGACACCTCCTGTTTTAGAAGATAGCAGCGGCTCAGAGGTCTAAACCGGACGCGACGAGTGGTTTAGTAGCCCACAAAAGTCAACGATGCGAAAGGGAAAAACACAGCAAAAACTGTATTGGTATCGACCAGTATGAAATACATTCTGCTGTCACTTTTGAGCTCAGAACTGCTCTAATGCTGTTTCTAGTAGCAATCTAAAGTGTAGAACAAGTAACGTTTACTTTGGGCCTCACCTATTGTTTGAAACACCTTTAAATCTTCAGCCTTGAATTACTCATTGAGTAACTCATAAAATATGTCCATTCATGGATTCCTTTGTGTAGTACGACCAAGTGGATAATGAAATACTAGATGTAGGTAGCTTAGCGTGTCTTATCTAATCTTTATCTACCCCATCTGTTATCTTTCTGTACTTGTTCCTCATTAAGGATGCTTTCAATTTTAAGTATCTGTGTCCTGCAGCTCTTAAATGATGAAGATTTGTGTCATGTCATGGTCATTTTCTTAGATGATCTGATTCTAGATAACACCTTAATCATGTTCTTCCTCTAGTGAAGATAAACTTTGAGGAAACAAACCCACTGTCGAGATTGCCTTTTATGAAGTGATAGCAAGGACAGTGTAAAGGATTTTCATCAAGTGACCTTGACCCCTTTCACACTACTTTCTATAAAATGTTATGACTGCAGTTAACTGCCGTTCTTGATTTTTATTTCTCTAACTTGTAACACTTGACAGGTTGGATCGTTTTTTTAATTCTTACTTGTTGACGAAATAACACGACCAAATAACTCAGCTTTAAATATAATTTACGTATATTTAAAAGTTAATAGGATATATCTACAAATGTCTTAACCTAAGCCTAGTTTGTGATTTTTAAGTGTGATTTTCAATTCAATGCATTATGTATGATACAAAAAAATAATGATGACATGCAATATTTATTTTTTTGTGACAATAGATGACAGTATCTCAGTCCATAAGGCTGCTTAAGGACTGTGAGAAACACCAAAATAGAAAAAAAAATGTTTTCATCTAAGCGTTTCATTGTTAAGCACATAACACGGCGTATGTCTTCAAACCTGTGCATTTATTATATGTCACTGCTCAAGAGAGCACAAGAAAAACCGCAACAGAGACCCAGGACCACCTTTTTACACAAAGCTAGTGTGTAATCAAGTTTGACAAGTGTCTGTTAAAAGGATATTGCCTGTTATATGAGCAATGAAGCATCTCAGGAGGTAGATCCCTGAAAACTTGAGGGAACTGTTTGGGGGGAAGAAAAGATGAAAAAGGTCAAAAAATCAAAATTCATAAAACTCACATCACTATTTGGATAGGCAGTGGTGATATATGGACATTTATTTGTAAAGAAAACAAAGACACACAGGAAGTTATCAGTGAATCACTAAAATTTAAATAACATGATACAAAAAAGATTTACTGTAAAATATGCATCTTACTGTTACTTTAGTTTAGTGGATCCCAGAGTTCCAAGCAAACAAAACAAATAATGTGCCTATATAGAAGTAAAGCCAGCCTCCAGTGTAAATGCTTTTAAATCCAGGTTAAAAACTACATTGAAAAAACAAATGGTGTGGTGTATTTTATTTTGTCAAGTGGTTGCACGTAATAAAATAATCTGGAGCCAGATAAATGTTTTTAAGTTGACTATACCCCTACAAAGTACTTAAAAATGTATCTAAATCAAGATGATCGAGATGAGAAGCAGGACACGGTTCACATTTGTCTCTGATCTAACCTACTGCATGCATGTATGCATCAAATAATGTGATGTAGGATTGGTTCGTTGCAAATCCTTCAGAAAGATGTGTTGGCCTCAATGAAAAAAACAAAATTACAAAAAGGGAACAGAAAAGAGTGACGCTCACCTGACCAAAAATGGCTGGGGGAAGCAGCTCGAGGTCTGTGTTTTAATCACATCTTGAAACTGCAGTAAGTTTGTCAGTAGTGAGCCACGACCACATTTATCGATCTTAGTCACAACCATCTGCAAAAAAAAAAAAAAAATTGTTTGTAAGATTACAATTAAAACTGTGTGAATTATGTCCCATTGAGGTCTGCTGGCTAGTTGGTAGTTTGGTCAATTAAAAAATCCAAACAAACACAACCCCCCCCCCCCCGACACACACACCTTTGGATGAAAGATGATGTTTTCCCTTGCCAAGCTTTCCTAAAAGCTGTTTTGTGGTAGTAAGTTGGCTCTGATGGTGGGGGAAGATGCCGGTCCAACCTGGTGGACCCAAATATATTGTGAGGGTCTGTTGGGAGCGTCGGACAGAATCCCCTGTCAGAAGGAGTTTAAACTCCCACCTCCAACAAAGCTTTTCCCACATCCCAAAGGAGGCGGGAGCCATTGAGTTTGAGTGGACTGTGTTCCGCGCCTCTATTGTTAAGGCGGCCAATCGAAGTTATGGCCGTAAGGTGGTCAGTGCCTGTCGTGGCAGCAATTCCCAAACAAGCTGGTGGATACCGACAGTAAGGGATGCTGTCAAGCTGAAGAAACGAGTTCTATCAGGCTTTTATGGCCTGTGGGAGTTCAGAGGCAGCTGATGGGTACGGGGTGGCCAAGCAGAAAGCAGCTTCGACTCGGGCATGGGAAGGGTTCGGTGAGGAGATGGAAGCCGGCTTTGAGAAAATTCTGGTCCACCATTTGACATCTCGGCGGGGGAAGCAGTGCACCATTAACACTGTGTACAGTGGGGATGGTGCGCTGCTGACCTTGACTCGGGACATTGTGAGTCGTGGGCAGAATACTTTGAAAACCTCCTCAACTCCACCAGCACACCTTGAGAGGAAGCAGAGTCTGGGATGTGTTTGTATTTCATGTGTTCGATCTGATCTTGGGACTTTTTAAAAAGGCTTACTTGCATTTCTGATTTAAAAGAAGAATATGCAGCTTACCACATATGGACATCTAGTCTCCTCACACATCTCAAGGGCGATGTGATCAGTCTTTTGCAGTCCAACGCTGCCATCCACCAACAAGAATGTTCTGACAAGACTGCAATAAACCAAGGATACAATGCCATTGGCTTAAAGGCCACGTGATTTGGAAGACACTTAAATTACAATGATCTGATGCTTCCACTGTCTGAGCTCACTGGGAAAAAAAAAAGTTTTTTGGGGGGGAGTAGGAAATGTGTTTTTCAGTCAGAAGTATCACTGTGACTGGCCAGTCTGCAATCAGCTTAGAGAAAGTTCATTTAGACTCATAGTCATTTAAGTTAATATAAATATGACTGAGAGATGCAGATCTTTAGACTATTATGTACAGAAATACATGTTGTGTATTGGTCATCTTGGATACAAGGAGGAATTGTATTTGTTTATTTGTGTGTGTGTGTGTGTGTGTGTGTGTGTGTGTGTGTGTGTGTGTGTGTGTGTGTGTGTTGTTTTTCACCAAACTACCACACGACATAATTGCACTTTTTGTAAGACAAGGCTACTCCAAATAGCTAATTCAATGTCTCACTTCTTTCTTGAATAGAGATATGGTTCGACCATATCCACAAAATCTTTGGGTGCTCGATGTCCATAACCTGGCATGTCGACGATGGTGAAAGCCTTGCCCACTCTAAAGAAGTTCATCTTTTTTGTGTGACCCTACAAGGGAATATAAAACAAACATTGACTTTGATTCACATCATTTAGCACTAAGCTTACTGGTTCATTATAAGAGATAGCTTCTTGCCACACTCCTGGCTTTTAGAATGATTTAGCTTTGTGAAGCCCTTAGAGTTAGGAAAAATATTTATTTTTAATTCCAAATTATATTTTACACATCAATGTTTAAATGCCATTTTTGTTACCTTTTCCATCTGCGTAGAGAAACAGCTGCAGACATGCAAACTGACATCAATCAAATATAATTACATGAGGAGAACAAGAAATGAAGGGAACTAAATAAAAAATGGAAATGGCTTATTTTCTCTCAAATGTGTATTTAAAATGTCTACTGCGACATCATGCACATCCATTTCTGTTATGACTACTCACGGGCGTTTTGGAGATTCTGACTTCCACCTCAGGACTCAGGGAAAACAGACATTTGATAAGAGATGACTTCCCCACATTGCTTCGGCCAATGAAACACACCTGGGAATACACAGCAACACTGTGGATATACACACGTGAAGCGGGGAGAAGGAGGCGCTGTGATATTCTGGGACTGCTTTGCTACATCTGAGGCCCAATATCGAGAATCTGTGCAGGGGTGCAATGTGTGCAGGGAAGGGACAATGAAATTTCAAGATGATCAAGGTATTCTGGAGAGAGATGTGCTGCCCAGTGTCAGCAAGAATGGGCTCAGTCGCAGGGATGTGGCTCTTGGAACAGGACAGTGAGGCAAAACACACGGGAAAAAAACCCTCACCCATGGCTAAGAACACAACATTGGACTACTGTGGAGTAGCCTTCACTGAGCCCTGATCTAAATCACATTGACGCAGTCGATGGGCCAATGTGAAGGGAGTTATGCTGCATTTCGATTGCAAAACATTTGAGCGGGTTATTCATGATTACATTATTTCCATTTGGTGTATAGTCTATGTACACCCCACTTTAAAAATTGGTTGTATGTGTATTTACCCGTATTTGCTTTTATATTACCGGTACCTTGTTTTACTCTTATGTCTTCATCCAAGTTGGCATTGCAACAGAGAACCTGTTCTGAATTCCCTTACCTGGATAAATAATTACAATATTCAATGTTTGTTTACGGGCGGCCCGGTAGTCGAGTGGTTAGCACGTCAACTTCACAGTGGTTTCCTCCCACATTCCAAAAACATGCATGGCAGGCTGATTGAACACTCCAAATTGTCCCTATTGTTTCTGTGTGCCTATTGACAACCTTAGAGAGGATAAAGCGGTTCAGAAAGTGAATGAATGAATGAATGTTTGTTTACGCCGCGCTCGCATTGACAAATATTGTGCGATATGCATCAGATTTCCACCCACGTTTGGAAGAGTTCTGTTTCAAATTTGAAGATAACTGATTTCATGCTGGGGTTTTTTTCCCATCCCATGATCCACGTCCAAATTGTGTCACTTAAAATTAAAAAAAAAAAAATTGTTGCAATGCCCAGAAATCTGATGGTCTGTCTCTATCTATGCATCCATCCATCCACCCCTCTTTCTATCCAGTTTTGTTTGACCAATTAATTATACTTCGTCTCTCTCTATTTGTTCAACTAATGATCAAATATATTTCAATACATCAAAAAATACATTGTTATTGAGAACAGGAACATGTATTGGGAATATAAACATATCTTTCATATGTGTGGAAATAAATTTTAGTGTGTTGATAATTTTATTTATGGTGTACAGTTTATTATTATTTATTTATTTACTGGACCCAATATCAGATCCAAATATGATTTAAAAAAAATTATTTGTTATTGATACAAATAATCAAAGGCAAAGAGTCACATTATACCCCACACTATATACTTAAAGATCCTCATTGCAATTTAACTTTACCAGCTAATGTTGCATTTTTCTTTGAAAATGTCAAAATAATTCTCATAATAAAATCAATTAATCTCGCTTTTAACTAAGTAAATTAAAAGTAACAAAGACAGAGTAACTTATCACTCGACACAGATGACCATATTGTAAAGAAACATATTACTTTCAAATGCAATTAACTAGTAAGATGAACTATATTACACTTTAGAAGTAACTTGTCCAACACTGATTAAAAAGCAGAAGTGCACAGCACCCAATCTGCCAGACTCATCATGGATGGCAAAAAGTAAAAGGCTTTGTGGTGAGACCAAAGCATTCTACTGACCTCGGGTTGTTTTAGTGCAGGTGAGTGGTCCATCCTCTCTGCTGACGTATAATAATCAATCCTATGAGATGGTGAGGGGCAAAAGAGCCTCTCAGCTTTTAGAACATCATCTACATGGGGATGAAATATATGAAACTGTGTCCTATCCACAGAGCTGAAAGTGAATTGAAAATAGTTATTAATGTCTGTGTAATAGTTGATAGCGTGAGCGTGAGACGAGGAACATTGGAGCGTGATATGCAAAAAACAGTACCTGTCAAGGTATGCCTCTATATCTGTCAGAGGGTAGAGCAAGCGTTTTACTTTGTTTGGGGATAAAACGCTGGCTTCTTTGAGCGAGGCTAACTTGTGAACTCTCTGTCGAAGGAGAGCACACAACTGCGTCCAAGGTCGAAGCCATTGTACAGGTTGCCGACAAAACATCTTCTGGTGAAAAATCTGGTTGAAGTAAATTGGAAAGGAACACAAACAGAAAGTAGTTAATGTGGCATCAAAGCTTTAAATAGATTTGTGTGAAGGTATGAATTTGATACATCAAGAAAAAAAACCAAAACGTTTTTGTAACATTATATGTATCATAAATATTAATTTGGGTATAAATTATGTTGTGTTTAACTTAATGCAGTGGTTATTTTGCAGTGACTGGCAACTCACCACCTATCATTCTGCCGTGAGGTGTTATTCCACAACATCAAATACAGCTCTCTGCCGGACAGTCTAAAACGCTTTACGTGCGTGTAAAAAGTTGAAAATGGCTTAATGTTTGAAAACTAAGACCTATCACCACCAAAATTCACATGCACAGCAGCACCTACGCCTACCTAAAACATATCAAAACAATCCCCAAAATATGTTGGATTTTATCAGCATTAATCTTTTTCCTCCCCATCAACGTTCACGATGGAGAAAAAGCTGAATGTGGCTTGTTCGACAACTCTGACCAATCACCACCAAAATTCATGTCCATAACTTTACCTATGTCCGCACCAATCTCTGAAAACAAAACAATCCCCTCCCTCAATATTCAGGATTTTTATAAACATTAAGAGGGCGGCACGGTGGGCGAATGGTTGGCACATCTGCCTCACAGTGCAGAGGTCACTGGTTCGATTAAGGGCCTTCTTGTGTAGAGTTTGTATGTGTTGATGGAGAGGAAGACGGTCATGTCCAAAAAATCTCAAATATTGGTGCGATTGCTTTGATATTTTAAGATGTTGATGTGGGCATGGGTAGAGATGTGCACATTTATTGTGGTGGCAATTGGTCGAACTTTTCTAACATTAAGCCACGTGAAGCTTTTTCTCGATAATGTATGTCTATGGGGCGGAAAAAGCTTAATGCCCATAAAATCCAAAATACTATGGCGATTGTTTTGATATTTTTAGGGGTCGAAGTGGGCCTAAGTAGAAATGTGTATGTGAATTTTGAGTGGTCGTAGTGTTCTAACACACATTAAGCTTATTTACATTTAGCGTTTTGGACTGCAAACCCTCTTCCTTTTTTAAAACATTATGTTTACAATTTCTTGTAGCAGGTCAAGAGTTGTCAATGAGCCGTTTTGTTTTACGTGTTTATTGAAGAATTGAACAGTTATGCTGTTGAACAATTTCAGTGCTGCTTGAGAAACAGAAATAATTGTCAAAATGATTAGGGACCCACCAAAATAATGGGTTAGGATAAGTTGAGGGTAAATAATAAAGAGAGGTAAAGTAACATTTAAAATGAGGTTGAGGTTAGATTTAAGAAAAGTTGAAGAGTGTAACCTGTATACATTTTTAATCGGAATCAAGGTCAGGTTGGCAACAATCGGGAGCCAGTTCATGTGGAAGCCAGTTGAACCGTAACACGCCAGCCAATACATCACGAGAAAATAATCTATTCAAGGCCAACCTACTCGGCGATTGAACAATCGGAGACGTTCAGAGTTGCATGTCACAACAAATAAACACTCCCTTAATTTTTAATCAAGTGACGGATCAAGATGTGATCGAACAACTGTGCTGGAAAACGAGAACAATAGAAAAGAAGAAATAATCCCATTGCTCACCCGTATTATGTTTTCATGGATTCAAAATATTTCAGAAATGATTAATGGTAAAACAAGCCTTATCTGTCATAACTACTGTAAAGTCCCTCTTCTGTATTGCGTGCGACTCAAAATAAGTCCGTTTGAAACATCGACCATTTCAGAAACAGTTCCTGCTAATGATGAATAAACGAAACACTTTCGACATTTTGTGCTCGTTTGGTGGTATACAGTCAATTCTATTTAATACATAAAATCTAAAATAACAGCTGGACGTTGTAAAAGTCTGTAGATTTAACAATCTAAAACGTTTTAATTTCCTGTTTATTTCATTTTTGTATGATGAGGCTTTTCATCAAAAATGAATGAAAAGAACATTTAGGGTACAGTCATAAAGTGTAGCAGTAGTCTACATTTATTTGCAATTAATTTGTGTTTTGTTTTCTTTGTATTATGTGCGCGCGCCTGCGCGTGCGTGTATGCATGCGTGTGTGCGTGGTTGTTTTCCCTTCTGCAGTTAATGTTTCATTCATTTACTTGAACAGAATACTGTATGCTTTATACATGGTATCTCCCAACATTTTTTTTTTTACTTGTGTACTCCCAAACAGACCTGTCACCCATGCAAAACAAGTTGCTTGTGCCCTACAGGAGTGAGTCTGGGGCTGGTGCGGGCACGGTGTTGTGATTTCGTTTAGCAGTATGACCAGTTAATTATGTAAGTCTTACTTATGTGTCTGTAAGCACATTGTTGGACGAGGAAACAATGTGTTTCATCAAAATATTCTGTTCGAGTGTTTTGTTCAACGTTTTTCATGTACACTACAGCAGGGGTCCCCAACCTTTTTTGCCCCACGGACCGGTTTATGTCAGACAATATTTTCAGGGACCGGCAATTAAGGTGTGGCGGAAATAATACAACAAAATAATATGGTATGAGCTGCATGAAAACTGTGGTGTTTTCGAAATATAATAATAAACACAAGGAGCGTCTAATCTTCGTAATTTTGTTTTAGTCGCCGTTGCTGCAGAAAAGCCCCGCCTCACACAGGTAGGATGTCGGAAATAGCAACAGTGCTACTGTGGCGATCTCAGAATATTCAGCCATAACTTTTATCCAGTTGTCTCGAACGTACTTTTAAGGCCGCCGTCATTTGATCTCCAGCAGTTTTTTTACTCATTTTGCGAGCTCTGGTGTTTTTTTTTTAAGCGGAATCGGTCACGTGACGGGGGAAAGCGTTGCTTGACGTGCGTCAAGCGTGACACAGACGGATGTAACGGAGAATCCGGTAATTTTTCAAAATAAAACATCTTTCGTATTCCGAAATAAAACGGAATTAAGGCAAGTTCTTTCTGTGCGGCCCGGTACCAAATGCCCTGCGGACCGGCACCGGTCCGCGGACCGGCGGTTGGGGACCCCTGCACTACAGTACCCATATTATTGCGTAGTGAAGTTAAATTACTGTCACTTCGCGAAATCAGGTTTCGGAAGTGGCACTATTTCAGTGTCACAATAAGAGCAAAACCGGAAGTGTTGCTTTAATGTTGGTAGTAACCACACGTTGTTGATAATATAAACAAAAGTGGTTTTGAACCCCTGTGCCGTGGCACACCAGTGTGCCGCAAGACATTGTCAGGTGTGCCGCGGGAAAATATCCAATTTGTATGCCTGTGCAGTCTATCGCCCAGAAAGTAATCGTGTTGTACCCTCCCATACCGCCAGGGAGTAGCAACAGCTAGCCAATTGCCTTGTGTTTAGACGAGAGACAAGCGAATTTATGACGCATGAATGCAGGACGACGGTGAAACAATAAATATGAAAGATGAGAAAATATTTTTTTCTTTGTGTTCATTTGATTCCAATTCAAGATGTTATAATATCATTCTTCAATGCTAAAAACGGTTATAATAAAAATATGACACATTAATTATTCAAACAAGCGTTTTTTTTCTTCACATTTTCAGCTAATGGTGTGCCGCGAGATTTTTCCAATGAAAGAAGTGTGCCTTGGCTCAAAAAAGTTTGAAAAACACTGGTTTATATGGACCGTGTCTTAACTTATGTGGTGCACACATGTTTATTGGCCTATTTTATGCCATTCTTTAGGAAAGCCACATCAACACATGCATACTCAAATACCCATAGTGCACAATAGTGCACCAATATTGTATGAAGATCTCAGCGATTCAATGAGGAAAACTGGAGAAGAGCAAGGAAAGACAAACGCCTGTCCTGTCTATTTATTTGGAGTTGGCCTCAAGCCTTGTTTGACCAACACACTTGTGTGAAGACAGTTTATTTAGCTGAATCGGTGAATAAGTAGTAGCTCTCCCCTACAATCATAGGTTCTATTTTGGGTTAAGAAATGCTAGTGTTGAGTTGTTCATTACTCCATCGATCCATCCATTATCTGAACCGCTTTAGTCTCACCAGGGTTGCAGGCGTGCTGGAGCCTATCCCAGTTGACGTTGGGCAGTAGGCAGGGTACACCCTGAACTAAGACATTAAAAATATAAAGAAACATGGTGTTTGTTTGATTGATGAGAATCTAATGTGTAACAGCCTATCATGCCTCAAAGTAGATTTCAAAGCGTGTGCTGTATGTGTATTGGAGCCACATACGCATGCATGCAGTTGTTTATAGGTAATAATAATTGCCCTCCCTGCATGCATTTCATGTTCACCCCTAAAGACTGAGTTCTGGTGACAGCTCTGGCCCCCAAAACTTTTTGTCATGCCATCTAGTCCTCCCTCACTCATAAATGTTGAAAAACGACGATTCTCCAATAGTAGAGGTAATGTAACTGATTATTTGAAGGACATCATTCTGTTTTATTTCCTTCAGTTGAATATACAATTCTTTTAAACTAATATTCAATACAGAAATGAATATGCTGCCTTTAAAGGAATACTACTAAGAATTATATGAATCAAAATAAAGACTTAACCTCCATTTGTTATGTGTAACTCAGAGCACTTGACACACACACCAAAAAAAACGGAGCTCCTTTGACTAAGCAAAACAGAAAGATGCATTTTATCCATAAATATCAGGACCAAGACCATGGGCGTCATTAGGCCTATTTTAGGGAGGCTTCAGCCTCCCTAAAAATGTCTTTAGCCCCCCTAAATAATTTCATTGCATTATTTAAAAAAAAGTATTATTTATTTTTCCTGTACTTTTGCTAATATATTGCATCAAATTCAATGGAATGTGGCCATTTTAAATTATATTTCGATAACCTGCCATTATTGTAATGTTAAATCTCCCAGGTTTCCTGAACGCAACAGGTGTTGCGTTAGCATTTGACGTGTCTGTCACCATCGCCGCATCAAATGCTAACGCAACAACTGACAGTTCATTGCCGAAAGTTAGGTTGAGTCGACAGCATGGATATTCGACAGTTTTTTTAGAAAGGTAAATTAAGTATTCAATGCATCCATGCTGGTAAAACTAGTGACTATAGTCCGCTAAAATATCTCCAGTAACAGCAGAAACTGCACTGTAACAAGTGTTCACTTTTGGATAAATTAAGGTGGTGCTTAATAAAAATTAAGCAACATTTTATTATTAAATACATAAATAATCATTACACCAACTCTTTGAGGCAACACCTATTGAGATTTTGGCCTATATAAAATAAATAAATAAATAAATATAAAATAAATAAATTTATCAGGCTAAAGACGCACAGAGAGTGAGCCGGGGACAGGTGAGTCTATCAGATCTCAAGGCTAATTTTACTTGCAAGGCTGTTCCCAAAATGCAATCGGAGCTTACAGTAAGTATTAAGCAGTAAACTTGTGTTTTTCCAAAGTGATGAAGCTTTTGCATCTCATTGTACTAACTTAAATTGCATATCACGGCAGACATCTCAGAATACATAGTCTTCTGGGGGCTAAGCATATATTAATACATTTTGGTAGAGAGGAATATAGGCCTACTGTCATATAGGTTATGTTATCGGGCATCCTTCTAATTCCCTTGAACAACCAAGATTGAACTTTTGAACTCTTTATAATTTCTATTATCTACAGTATTATCTTTATCTTACAGTTAAAGTCCAGGGGAGGAAGCCCCATCATAGTAAAGAGTATACTTATGTGATGTGTGTAAAGTAGTTCTTCATAGCCTCTTCATTTTGCTCTCAAAGTGCACGGAATTGATGGATTTTTAACAGAATGTAGAAAAAATTTCTCCCGGGGGGGCATGGCCCCGGACCCCCCTAAAGGGGCTGTGTTCCCCTTGGGGCTAAGCCCCCCTTGTTCTTCAAACCTAGTGACGCCCCTGACCAAGACACTGAATAAGAATAATATTTTCACCCACACGAAGCTGCTCCTCGTACCCCGTTGAAATGTGCCCACATCCCATTACGGGTAAAAAGATTGGGAAAGACTTCTAGACGTATGCCTCAGCTTCTGTTCTACTTAAATACTGTATATCAAAATATTTCACACAGCTGCTTGAAACCCAACAGCTCGCCCACACATGTTCTCACTTTGGCCACATGGTGGTAGTGCAGAACACTAAAAGGAACCCAACGCTTGCCTTCATGCTTCCTTTGCTCCCACCTCCTCTTTTGACCGAGTGTTAAGTGTTGCATGGATGCCACTCGTCCATCTTTGTCATTTATAACACATATGCTAAAGCCACTTGCTGACTTTTTCTATACGCATGTGTCAAGTACATCATACTTTTCAAAATTAAATGTACCCCACTTGTTCTTTCGGACAATGTTTAGCTTTCTTTTACTATTTCACAGATTGTTAGATGACCTATTTTTTTCAAGGGTAAATAGACCGGATGAAATTATCAGCTGATTGGGACTTTCGTTAGACCTCGGACACGTATACTGCTCATGTTGAAATCATAAGACCACATAAAAATAAATATCACTGGGTTTTTAAGAGGCAATTGTGTGGGCAAAGAGGACAAAGAAAAATATGGAGCAGGGTGGTCGATGGCAGGCCCAAACAGCAAATGTTAAGATGGGAGACACGAAGCAGGAGCAGCCGTGGGTACTCTCATGACTCCATCATCCCATCATTGAGAGCGGGATGGGATTAAATGCCAGAACAATCAATCATCCAGCAAGCAGACATCTATGGCACAAACCATGATGACATTTACCTCCCCGGCATCTA